CTGCCACAGTTGGTAGGGACATGTCCAGACTAGTCCTTCAGAAAGTTACCCCAGTGGTCCGAATGTCCGCCCTAACCCCTTAATCACTATATAGAGCGTGGACTATATAGTGAACTTTATAGCGATCTCAATTAACTTACCGTTCGGACAGATGATCACTGCTCTTTGCTCCCCGTTGGTCACAGAACTCCTCCCTCACTGCACGGTGCTGCGCCATCTACGCTGCGACAACAAATCCCATATCTCTGGCATATATCTGCCTCTTCTGAGGCCTTTCTTTTCTTCTCATACACTTCATAGACACTTTTTCTCTTACGACCCTCGGCCATTTTCAAAGAACCGCAGTGAGAAAGGTGAGCTTCAATGACTGGCTGAAACCGTACCTCACTTCAGATATACGCCTGAAACCGCGCATGCACAGAAAAAGATCACTAAGGGGTTGAGCACGTAGGACTGCCTTACATAAACATACCACCAGAATGATTGACTATCACGAGGACCACTTATTTTGATGATCACACGGAAATAAAAGGTCGTCAACTATACTTTTAAGGTGTAACAGTGACAGAAATGTAAAGCAAAGCTGATGTAAAGATTCAGAAAGCATGAACTGTAGATGGGGTGGCAAAGCTTCAAGAATCACCACACACAGGTGCATCAGGGCTTAGGATATGACTGTCATATTCAGAGGGTGGATTTGAGGAGAGGAGAGGCACAGAATCCACCCTATTTAAGATCAACTGCTAAACTTTTACAGTTAATTGTGATTTAATCACCCATGCATCATGTGTACCTACTCTTTTCTTTTTGTTAGAGTACTTATTGCCTCTGTCTTGGACTTGGCACCAGCTCACACTGCTAAAAAGTACTGATAACCACAATGTGAATCTATTGAGTATGAGAAAGATACAAAATAAAGAACCTGGGTTTCCAATACACCAGCAGAATCACAGGCTGACTCCAAGCTATGCTGGATTGATGCTGTAATTAACACAAAAGCAGCCCAAAACAATACTAATTATAAATACATTACAGTACATAGATACATGTTGTAGTAGGTAGATATTTATATATTATAAAGGCATTTCTAATTGGTCAGAAATAATGGTCTGACCCCAAAGTTGTTTTTTTTTAGTAGCTCTAAACCATAATCCTTAAAGCAAACTAACTTGTTAATTATACTCTCAATATATCAGTAATATTTGTAAAAAAGAACACTAGAGGATAAAAAAGATTGAACCCTAGTCATCTATACAAAAAGTAGCTGATTAGGTAATATGTTTTTTAAATTTATGTAAAATTACATGTCTGATACTTTCATCACCTAAAAAATAAAATGAACCACTTCTTGTTTTCACTCCTCTAACCAGGTTTTTAAATGCACCCAGCTCAACACTCCTCCCCCCATCATGTCCGCCTGTGTCGCCCCCCCGAACCACCCAGACCCATTCAGGGCCGGACCACACCCCATCTACAACCTGGGCACCCCCGACTGGAGCACAGGGAGCATCCGACCTCGGGTCCAGCCGAGGTTTGTCATCATCCAGCTCAGTCAGCAGGAGGACCAGGTCATTACCGATCTGTTGACACTGCACCACCAGGAGGCGCCCCAAAGCAAGGAATGTATCTCTGCTGCACATATCGCTTTCCCAGCTGCTCTAAAATCTAATCCCGGGGATTTGAACACATCCCTTGAGGAAGCAAATAAGGTAATCTGCACTGATGCACCAGAGGAGGGACAGAGCTGGTCAGATGCAGAGTATGAAGCTGCAAACACTCTCTTGAGCAGCTTCAACCTGGTGGATGATTACTTGATACCAAACAGAATAACACCTCCTGATCACCTGCGGTTCCAAACATCTGAAGCAGAGCTAGAATACCAGAGTTTGTCACCTTTAGTAACTTGTGACCGTTCAGAAAATGGAAGCTGCATGGAGAGGAACAGCGAAATCAGATCTGACACGGGTCCTTCAGAACCAGAGAAGTCCTTCCTTTCAAAGATGGAGGGCAGGTCAGAGGAGCCGATGCTGATGGATCTGGAACGGGATGCTGTGCAGGTTCTGCTTAGTCTTGGGGAGACGCTAACATTCAATGACAAACACTGAAGCTCTAAAAGCTTAAGGAGCTTTTTTTTAAGTTTTTTTCCTCTTAAAACCTGAAACTCCTCATTGGTATTGTTTTACGCAGTTTTATTTTATTGGAAGTAAATTTTTCATGCTTGTAATATAAAAAAGTTCAATAAAAATGTTTCCTTTTCAATCACATGACTCAGATGTAAAATAAATTTTTTTTATTAAAAGTACATCTACTTGTTTAAAGCAGAACAGCTTTTTTCATAATTTACATTTTTCAACATATGTACATTTTTTCTCTACAGTGGTTTGCTGATTAAAAACTGTAGGAGCTGCAGTATTCCTAAACCATCACAGTTTTACACCTGAGGATCCAGTAAATCAGTAGCTCTTTCTTTAGAGTTCATAGCTGAGACATTCCTGAAAGCTTGATGTCCTCAAAGCCTGGCAGAAACAGCAGAATAAGAATGACTCAGCATTAACAGCTTATGCTTACAGTAAAACCAAACATTGCTTTTCCAGAAATGCTTAAAACGACTGGCATGTGCCTTTAGGGTTTTCCCGGACACACGTAATATGCATGCAGAATATTTGTTTTAGCATCTGCAGGCAAAGATCTGTTTAGTTCTCAGTTACCTCAGCAGTATAGATTAGGGGATTATTTATCAAGTGTTTGCTGATAAACAGGAGTTCATTCCCATGTAAACGTACTCAGTGGTTTTTCATCGTAGCCTGAGCGAGCCTGTAGCGCTCCTTGATGTTTCTCCTCCTGACGTGCTCGTTGGTGATCTCGATGACGTTTGCAGTGGGGAACCAACCCTTCTGACCATCAGACAGACGGATTCCTTCGTACCAGCCTGGAGGGAGAAGAAAGCGGATGTCAAACAAGGGAGGGTTGTAGTTTTTTTTTCTGTTAAAGCAAGATGGTCAAAAAGAAATATTAAACTGCTAGATGATTCAAGGATAAAAAACCGACAAGTAGAGTCAAAGGGGGGGCGGGGTTCATCAGTGAAACAAAACCAAACGTTCACTTTATGACACTATTACAAAATCCTATAGTTCCATTCTGTGGGTAAAATTTTATTTCCAAACGTTCACTGAGCACATTTCTGCAGATTTTTTTACCTTCATTGGTTTTGCGGGTGACGTTGACGAGCTCAGTGGGCTCCAGGCTGAGCTCGTCTCCTTGCTGGGCGACGTACCGCTCCACACACTGCACCTGAGGACAATCTGACACACACACACAGCCATAAGCATGTGAAAAGACCAAACACAAGGCATCTGATATAGATGACGCTGTGTGTTGTTCTCACCCCAGTCCTCATAAATCACCTCTTCTTCAACATCATCTTTGGTGGAGCTGGGGAAAGCAGCCAACCATCTCTCCATGTCTGATCTGTTGATACAAACGAGCTTTGACTCGACTCCAAACCTCGTATTCATGACAGCTCTATAGTTTCCGTGGTTTTTAAAACTCAAAATAGCACATATTTATCTATATCTATACATCTATAAATATATAGGTAAATATGTTCTTTCTTGAGTTTTAAAAACCATGGAAAGCATTGTGCATTTTTACTTTTTCTTAATAACCAAAATAGCAGAAACCAGTTCATATTTTCCCTGGTTAAAAAAAATTAATTCTAATCAAAACAAGGTTTATTTATGTAGCATTTTACAACAACACCAGGAAGACCAACGTGCTTCACAGAAAGATAGGAGCATTGCAAAACAATAAAAAAAACTAAAATCATAGGCATAAAACAATGTTTTCTAAGTATTAAAAGCCAGTTTAAAAAAAATAGTCTTTAATCTGGACTTAAAAAGGTGCAGATCAGTGAGAATCCGCAGACCAAGGGGCAGGTTGTTCCACAGTTTAGCTGTTCTATCACTGCCTGACATCAAATCGGATTAAACTTTATTTATTTTAGTTCAGTCAGTTACCCTGTCAGGGTAACCAGTTTATTTCTATTTGCTAAATTCCCATAATGGTAGGGATTTTTTTTTTTTTATTAATTTGACTGGTTGACATCAATTTATTTAATATTTGGTGAAAATGTCTTTAAAAGTTACGTTATTGGGTTTCTTATAACCTTCCTTTAATTTAATTTCCTCCATGTGGAACTTGTCTATAAGACCTCCATGCTTGAAAATAAAAATTTTTGTCTCGCCAATGATATTTTCCTTCATTAATCCTTGACTTTAATATCCTGGTGACATGCTTAGAGTGTTTGTCTATTTTGAAGACCTGCTTGTGTTCAGCACTCCCTGGCTGATGTCTTGAGATATTGCTTCAATATTTAATTTGTTTCTTTGGAATCCCAGACTTGCTGATAATCTTCAATTTCATGTTCAGATTGGAAACAATATGTTTATATAATATATAAGTTTTCCACATGATGATGTTACCATCTTTAAACATCACTACTGATATGGTGTTTATAGGTTTAAAAGCCTAGCTTTCAGCAAACAGTGTGTGAAAACACATCTAAAGATTTAGGGTCTTGGTAGAATAAAAACTAATTTTACCAAGCAAAAAAATGGAACATTAATAATAAGCTTATACATTTTGACAGGTCCAAAATCTACAAATATTTACTTCTGATTAGTATACCATGCCTAAAACAAAAGGATTCTGCACCAATAGGAACACTAGGTTGCAGTCACGTGAGACGGAGCATGTCCAGAACCTAGCAGCTCAATGCAGAGCTGAGAAATGGCTCCTTCTCAAGGCAAAAAAGAAGCTGAATATTGGTCCAATTTCTGAGGGTTGGTGCAGAAATAAAGAAGCAAAGGGGCTCAGAAGCCACACAGAGGTTGTAGTGTTTCTTCTGAACAGTATTACCACTAGAGAGTACTTACTGAACAAGAGGATTTATCATCTTTAAATTCTCTTGGTTATTCTCCAAGTATTTCACTGGCCTGTCTAAATGTCCAATTTTAAAATAGCTACAACATGCTATTTCTTTCAGCAGTAGAGCCTTATGATGTGTCTTCACAGAGACATTACTTATTATTATTATTTTTTTTTTCAGAATTCCAGGGAATTTACATTCTCTGCATTTCCAGATACGTCTATGATTGATGCCTGGAGAATGATTGGAAACATTCAAGGGTTATCTGATTTTATTCACCATAAAAATGCTTCCCTTGTTTTATACGAGTTATAGAAATAAACCTGAGCTTTAAAAGGGTATTTTTGATTTACAATGCCTTGTTCTACGGGCATTTTCCCAGGATGTGAATAAAGTTAGCCGAATAATGTTTGCAGACACTTACAGGTTAAACGCCTCAAACCAGAATGTCAGCACAAACTCAGTAATTATTTTAATTGGAATCTCATTGCTTCAATTTGTATGATGATACACCATGTATATGAGTTTCCAATTTCTAAATCTACTTTCTAAAATTAAAACAATTTTGACAATGTTATAGTTTGTTGAGATGATCACTCACTTGGATGGGGCTTTGAGGAGCCGCTCCATCTTGCGCCCCTGGTGGTTTTCCAGCATGATGAGGTTGAAGCAATTCTCATAGGTTGCACCACCAGAGGTCTCCTCCAACGGCTCAACCTGAACCAGAGTTCGATGACTGTGGTCCACCACCACATAACGGTCAGAGCTGTTCAGGGCACACAGAAGCAGAACTCCATGAAAGACAAACAGAGCTGAAGGTATACAATCGGGTTTAACTGGTTATACTTAAGTTTACCCTGTGGTACTCCTAAAAAAACAAAAACAAGTACATGTGTCACATGTATGAACTGCAGAGGGGTCTCTATTATCACTTAAATCCCTCTGACAGCAATTCCTATAGCATTTGAGGAAGTTTTGGTGTCAGAGGTGAAAGGAAATCACTGGCATGCATTGGTTTGTAGTCACTATTATTCACAGGTGATCAGTTACTATGACAACCAGTGAAAGGAGTCAGCAGTAGAGTGCTCTGATTCAAGCCCATATTTCAGCGCTCAGTCAGCAGTATGGCAGCAAACCATAAACAGCAAAACTTTAGTTAGGGTTTCAAGTTCAAAGTGCTAACAGTTGATCACATGGTCATTTAAGCTTCTTCAAAATTCTTCTATAAAGATGTTTCTAAAGATATACAATAAAAAAATACAGTCAGAGTCAGATATTTTCATAAGCTTTATTAAAAGATTAATGGCTGTTCTGTCCTGAGGAGAAAAACTGTATGTTTCTTTCCTTTCTTTCATCAAATTTTGACATTTGAAAAGATTAGGAGGGTCTTTTAAATTGTTTGATCTCGGCTGAAGGTTTTGGGTCGCCTTCAAGCCCCTAAAGCAGCTGGCTTAAATCTGAACCCTTTTCTCCTGACAGAACCGCTGTATCTGTGTCAGGTCTGTAGGCCACTTTGATTAGAGGAACCTTTGTAACTCTAACCATCTATGGGACTGAGAACAGCATGATGGACACCCTGAAACATCGACTTTATTGTCCCTAAGCTAATGTGCTGGTATAGAGTCGATTATGAAGGGTCAGCATATTTTTGTGCCCAGGTTTGGTCTTCACTATGAGAGTTTTCCAGCTGGGACTGAGTTATTAATCCACCCCTTTTACTTCCAGATGTCCAAACACTATAGTTGCAGTTTTTTTGACAACAGGACATATATTTTCTTTCATCTTCTGCATATCCACCATGTAGGGGATGTAGCTCAGTGGTAGAGCGCATGCTTCGCATGTATGAGGTCCTGGGTTCAATCCCCAGCATCTCCACTCAATATTGCTTCCACAATTTTCTGGCTTGGGATAGATAAAGTATTTCTATCGATTTGGAGTTGTGGCTTCTTCTTTTCTGAGTGGCCATTCAGTTTATGTCATCATTTTTTAACCTTTTTTTTAACAGTTAATGCACATATTTCACAACACGGCCGTCTTTGGAACCAAGGTTATCATTGTTATCCAAAACTAACGAAATTACTAAAACTAAAATCGAAAACATTTTCGTTAACTGAAATCAAAATCAAAAGTAGGCCTTTCAAAAAACATAACTGAAACTGTAATAAATGGAGAGATAGAAAGGAGATAGAAAGAAGATAGAAAGGAGAGAATGTGCATATTTTTTTATTATCTTTTGCATCATTATTCATACGCAATAGTCTGCTTTGGGATTTTCTTTCTTTTTTCTTTTTTTTGGTCTTGACCCAAATATGTAGGTCATATTACTTAAAACACTAAAACCAGAACTGATACTAAACATAAAAAAAAAAAAAAAACTTGTCAATACTGAAAAAAAGATTTAAAAATCCTAAGTCAAAACTGAATAAAAATAAAACCCGATGAAAAATTGTAAACTATTCAAAGTCTGTCTGGAACACAGACCTGGTCTTCGTCCCAATTATTTAGGTGGCTTAATAAAAATCAAAGCTTTTTAGATCCATATAAGCAGGTCAACAGGGTGCCTTCTAACATCTGGAATTTGAACTTGCAGTTGTTTCTTTTTTGATACTTTGCCTGATTTCTATAGATTTTTCACATGATTTGACCCTTCTAAGTCTGTTTGAGGCGTCTTAAAACACATCAACAACTGCACCTGGATTTAACTCAAATACTGAGAATTAGTAGAAGCTTGTGAAGCCATGATGTCATGATTGACTTCCCTCAGATTGCTTCAAGTCACTAAACTTAATGATCTCATTTTTCTGCCAGGAATAATGGTGGTGACCCTAATTAACTGAAAGCAGCATAAGTTTAGTTTGTTTCATGTTAGATAAGACATTGATTGCAATTGTAATTTTTATCAATTTAATTTCTCATAGATCAATTAAGTTTTTCTATAATACCTTTTCTTGATAGTTATCAGTAGCCGGTCATTGAAGAGAAAGAGGTAAACTGGAGAGAACTTGGCCCTCATGTTGACAAAGGTTTTTGTTTTGGACATTTCTTGGAGCTCTCCTTTCTTCTCCAGAGAGCGACTCTCAGAGACGATGGGGGTGGCCTGGTGAGGACAGAAAACCATCCTTAGATGTTTAATCGGCAGACGGACACATCGACGGTGTCCTGTCCAAGCTTACCTTGAGCTTATCATACTCCAGCATGTTGGAGATTTCTACCAGCTCCTCCATCTGTCTCATCTTCCCCACTTCTCTGTTGCAGCAATCAATGATCTGTGTGTGAACAAATGTCAAATTATTCACAATCATCTTTACATATTCGCTCTGTTTTACTGTAAAAGTCTCATGACTTCCTGGCTGGGCTCATTCAGTAGGAAATCTGTCCCCAACAGCAAATGCTGATATCACAGCTCTGCTTACATTAAGCATGAAGGAGGCAAAGTCAGGTGTTCTTGTGTGCAGAGAGGGAAAGTGAGGAGTGAGGGGTGTTTACCTTAGAGACGGAGGCCAGAGCCTTTGAGGCGGTCTTCTCCTCTGGCGTTCCCTCTTTTGTTCTCTTTAGGATGTTCTGAAAGGACAAACAGCCTTTTATTTATGCAGCTCATTCTCTGCCATGTGGATTCAGAGCAGGTCTGGGTGGATGTGAGGCAAGACCATGTGTGTCAGGAGGTTGAGTGGGAAGGATTACTCTGGATTGAAGACATTCCTCACATTCGGAGAGGAATGTGATGAGGAAGGAAATCAAAAGAAACTATGAAGGATTCCTCACTCACACTGTGCTGATACGGAAATATTTAAAGCATTAAAAGGCTAATTCTTTGAATTCTTCAGTTGGTCTTTACCAGAGCAGAACAAGAGTGTTTCTACTCCAAAGTGTGTCACCTGTATCGGTACTGAAAGCATTTGGCATTCATATCTGTGTCAGTGATTATTGATTGATTGATTATTTCCACATTTTATTTTCAACAAATGCATTCAAGATTGCGCAAAAAGTTTAAACCACCTGTCATTTCTTGAAAGCTTGAGCCACGGGAAAGAGATTTCCCTCTAGTAATGTTAAACGGCCCTGATCGTTACTTTTAGGGCATTTTTTTTTTATTTGCTGCTTCTTCATTTTACTCACTGACAACACGACAATCAGCAGGTGTATTAAAACCCTACGTCAGATAAATGGGATTTGAAAGTCATGTCTTTAAAAACAAGAAGAAAAACACATTTCAAAACCTAAATGTATTTAATTATCTCATTATTTTGACTAATAGACTAAAGCAAATATTTATCTGGATAGTGTTGGGACTTTATGCCCTGATAGCTAGCCTGCACTCAGCTGCTTTACAGACATGCTGGCTACTGTAGATCTGAAACAGGGTCACTTCAGTAAGCGTGACAGCTGGTGACATTAACAAACCTGGACTACGTGATTTTCATAAACAGAAATGTTTGCAAACAGCCTAACTTATCTTTCCAGTAAGGGAAAACTGCAGCGCCTTTTTGAGGTGCAGCTGTCTATGCTTTATACTCAATAAAGCTTTTGTTTGGCATCTCATTAAAATTATTTTAAAGCTTACCTTAAGAAGGAGAGAAAATTCTGATGGTTTTAAAACCAAATATTTAAGTTAGATGTTGAGATCTTTAGTCTTACATAAAAACACTGACAGAAATATCTATAGAATCAGAGCTGCTCTTTTCAACTCCCGTCCTTCCATGGTCATCTTTTACTCCTGTTTGATTTGGTACACATTTATCTCAATATTATGCTTCAATAACCTTAGACACGTTCATTTTGGGAACAACGGTTTAGGAGAGTGACAATATTGTGCGAGAACCTGTTGCTGTTGAGTCATTAAATGATCGTAAATGAATACCTCACTGACTACAGTCTTTGATGGTAAAGGAAAAACATTTCTTTTTGTGTGCTCCAGACTTTGGTATGTCGCTCACTATAGTCATGATTTAGAAGCAATGCTGCAGGGAGCAGAGGCTTTCAGAGGCAGCTACAGATCTTTGCTCTCTTGAAAACCTTTTTGGCTGGGATTACTTAAGGCATACGTATTGCTAAAGCAAGAGGAGTCTAACGTGTACTCAGAGCTCAGGCTTCCACTTTGCATCAACATTGATATGTTTTCTAAAGATTCAAACCTGCTGCTCACCTCGATGAGCATCCTTAAGCGTGTTATTCGCTGGAAGGGCAGCAGCAGGAAGGAAATAAAGGGCAGCCGCTGACATTGAGGCAGCTCCTGAAGACGGTTGATCATGGCGGCGAACTGCTCGTTAGTCTTCCTGCAGAAAAGCAGATGTCAGTCGCTCACAGCTTAGACACAGCTGAGTGGATTTCCAGGTTTTAAAAACTCACTGCAACTCAAAAAGCTGCTAATCATTTCTCACAATCTGACAGATGGTTCTTACATGAGTCTTGAGTAGGTCTTTTCTTGGTAGATCTGGTTGCGCACGTAGTCAATGTAGGGGGAAAAGTTGTGCTGGGCGTGATAGTTGATAATGTCACATATATCTGGGAACACTATCTCCTTTAATATGTGGTTTTCCAGGTCTTTCAGGAACCTGCAGTACATAGTTTGATCAAACAACTCCCAGGTGCTCCAGATAACAGCTTCAGCTGAATTCTGCTGTTAACGACCTAATTATCTCCCTCTGTCTCCCGTGGTGTGATCTCTCACCTCTCGCTGACCTCGCGAACCTTCAGGGTGTTAGAGAAGAGAGTTTTCCTGTCGTTGATGATGATCATGTTATACAGCTCCCTGTTTTCCATAAAGTGGTCAGTCAGGACGTAGAGGGACCGCAGGTACGAGGTCTCCGACGTCAGGACTTCAAACATGCTCTACCAAAGAGGATCAAAGACAAAGATTAACATTAGGAACCGAGTTGGTTGAACTTTTTATATCTATAAAAATGTAACTTCTTCTCTCCTGCTTGTAATGTCTTCCAAAACCTCCAAACTTCCTGTGTTCGATTTTTCGATTCTTCGCAGAAAATGATTTATTCAAGTTTTTAGTTCATATCAAACGGGATCAACTAGATTAAAGATTATTTATATGGAAAACTATATGTTATGATCTTATCATGCACAGCAGATTGATAGCGAATGGTAAGATGGTGGCAAGGCAAGAAGAACAAGAAAATCAAATGAAAGTTGAGTGGAATTAAAAAAGGGATTAAAAGGTTTTCAACATAGTAAGCCTTAGTAATCAATATAAATGGTTCCAAGTTATCATTTTGTTTATCATTAATCTATATTATACATAAAATCAGCACTTTCTGGACTGAATAACTAAAAATGTGTTAAATATATGGAAGAAATACAGTCTCATTGGAATCTGCCTTTTTTTTAAAACATTTTTTAGACATTGAATTCCTTACACTCAATTTTTATCTGGTAAAAATTCACCAAAAAAAAATTCAGCAGCAAAAATTCAGCTGCAAAAATTCAGCTTCAAAAAATTAGCTGCAAAAATTCAGCTGCAAAAATTCAGCTGCAAAAGTGTTGACCTTTTGGTGAAATCAGGGCCAAAGCACTCAACACTCGATAGAGTCGCAGCTTCTAGCCAATGAAATTAGCTCATTTGGTCACGTGACACAACGGCTGCACTCGGTGCTGTTCCCGGCTGAATGAGGATTTTTGCAGCTGAATTTTTTGCAGCTGAATTTTTTGCAGCTGAATTTTTTTTCTGGTGAATTTTTACCAGATAAAAATTGAGTGTAAGAAATTCAATGTCTAAAAAAATTCAGTGTTTAAAATTCGTTGTTAAAAAAAATTCAGTGTTAAAAAAATTCAGTGTTTAAAATTTGTTCTTAAAAAAATTCAGTGTTTAAAATTCCGTGTTAAAAAAAGGCAGATTCCAATGAGACTGTTTTTCTTCCATATAAATATTCTTATTTACCGTCATTCATCTGTATATAAAGTGAGACTCACACTTATGGAAGACATTTAAAGACTGATCTGGTGTCTCTTACAGTATGTCACCCTTCAACTTCTTTTAGGTCTTTTATTTATGTTACAGCTTCTGCATGTTCGTCCTCCTCACCTCCTGGTACTTGATTTGCTCAGAAGTGAGCGTGTCCAGCACTCCACTGTCCCGTACGGCAGGGAGCTCCTGCCACAAGGTGCTATGGCTCATTGTAGGTACGAGGCTAGCCCTGGCTGGCTTGCTTCCGTTTAACTTCACTGTTATGTTCTCGTCATGGCGAGCCACCCAACCCATAGCGTAGTCCGCGCTAGCTTTGCTGATGCTGCGGATGATGCTCTGTTGACGCAGCTCCTTCTTGATGGCAAAGTCGTTGTAGGTTTGGTACAGAGGCTCTGAGTCGAGAAAAATTGCCATGTTTTAGGGTAGATATATTCGGAGCATTTTTTGTTGAAAGAAGATGAAAAAATCTTAAAAGCAACAATTATCTCATTATTGAAGTTTAGACACAATGCAGGGTATAGGGAAATATCTTACAACAAGCAGACTTTAGATTATGAATATAAATAAGGCAAACTGAAAAAACCTTACTTCTTGATATTAATTAATGATTGTTTAAAGTTTGGCTCTTATAAGGCATAAATAATTTATATTTAACTTGTAAAATATAAATTGGTTCCCATTCAGCTGAAACGTAATGTTTCTTTAGTTTAAACCTAAATTCTGATCATTTTAGGCCTGGACTTTGACTAGGCCATTCCAACACATAAAAACACCCTGATCTAAACTGTTCCACTCTAAATGTTGATTCCTCTGACTGTTTTGTTTTACCCAACACTCCTGCCATATATTTGACTCTAATGAACCCATCAACTGTGACCGCCGTCTAAGTCCCACAGTATGATCCTGCAACCACCGTGTTTCACCACGAATAGGTTGTATTCAGTCTTGTTAGTTTTTCACCAGATAAAGCATGTAACTATAGGATCAGCTTTGACTCTTTTCCCCCTTCCATTAAGTCCAGATTAGCTAGAATAGCTGTCCTGTCAATGGATCCTCCCTTCTTGTATTCTTTTGAGATATCGTTTAATAATCTAACGGCACGTTAAGGAAAGGAGTCCTGCTTGCGATTAGTTACACAAAATATAAATAGTGTTATAGGGTGGCAGAGGGGTGCAAATGAATGACGTTAATAGAGCTGCAACTAATGATCATTTTGTAAATCCATTGATCTGTCAATAATTGAATGTCAATTTATCAATTAATAAATCACATAGCAAAAGGTTCCTTAAAGAGGATTTACAGATTTTACACCAGGTGAAACTAAAATGTTTTCATTTAAGGACTTCTGGAAAGAGCATATTGATGGAAGAAAAAGTTGTTGTTTTTTAACATACGGTAAATACAAAATGTTTATATATTTTAAAAGTTGTGGTAAAATTAGTGCTCTAAGATGGTTCCTCTATCAAATAAAAGCATGTTTTAGAGTTTCTGTACTCCTGTTAAAGATCTATCGATTACTAAATTAGTTGACACTTGTCTTAATATCTATTAAACATCATTAATCTACCCAATTGTTTCAACACTAGATTAAAGTTAATTCAAAAAGTACTGCAGACACAAAAATTAGACGAACACATAGAAAACGTGCAAAGGGAAAAAACTGCAAGTTCAGAAGAACTACAATGAAGTCCAAATAAGAGAAGTGCTTCACATCACTAGGGAGACACTCACAAACTCAGACTGGACCAGACTATAGACATGAATAAAAATAAATGTCTATGGACCTGATCCTTTGCAAAAAGCATGACACCTAAAGGACACCTAGACCCCATTATAGAGAGTGGCCTTAATTTATACTGAGCAAAGAGCAGTTATCCTGAGACTTTTTAATATTCAGAATTTTTGGTTTCAGAACAGAGGATATTAGCAAGGTAACTCAACTCAAAGTTAAATCAACCGACAGCTTAGGGTAAGTGTGAGCAAAATAAGAAGCTGTCACCAATGGAACTCAGAAAACATAAGCTACCATGGCAAAAGGGAGAGCTACTGTAGGAAGGTGAAAAGAGAACATTTCTCATTAGTGGATAATGGATATTATTAAACCATATTTACCAATAAAACTAATAATTTTCCTGCTGCAAAAAAGGAGAGAAGAAAATAACTTATGTGTCAAAGTGATATCAACTCCATTATTGCCTCTACTGATAATTTCAGTTCTGTGATTTTTGTTTCTCTTATTGATCTTGCGGATTTGTGACAAATTAATTCTACAAAACTGTGTGTGTAGGGCAATTAAATTAGGTCAAATTCACATGAAGACCAAAGCTGTATCTTTTCATGAACAGCTTAGAGCGAGCTCAACGCTACATCCCAGACAGTTTGCCTTGCTTGTGTTTAGCATCATTTACGTGTTTGCAACAGCATTTGTAATTGCAGTTCTCTTTGCATCTGTTTTCTTCTCTGTAGCATGTTTCCTTTACATGTGTTTTGTGTGTTTGTGTCAGCCTAATTTTTGTGCTTGCTGGACTTCTGGAATTTTATCTACCTTCATGCATCTGCACACCTCGGCCACTATGGTTACATTTGAGCTTAAATACTTTCTGTGCGCTAAATTGATCTGTGAAACTCTTGACCTTCATTTAAACAGTATTCAAAGTGATCGGACATTTATCATTTTGGAAGCTAAAGTAAGATAATTATATATGCTGAGTTTATAACAATGTAAATGACATGCTTTTTTTTCTTATTTTCAATGCAAAATGTTATTCTATTTGCAGATGGTTTTACTTATAAGTTAAAATAAAATGCAAATCCACTTATTTCAAGAAGGTCTTACTTTTAGTTCACTTTTTGCATGGTATAGTTCAATGGCATTAAATTTCACTTAAATATATTCAGATTTGTAATATTCGTAAAAAAAAACAAAAATAATGAGCTGCCATCACTTTTGGATTGTTATTTCTGTTAATTTGCAAACAGAGAGAATCATCAGGTTTCTTTGCAGCATTGCATGCTGGCTTCTTGAGTTTGACATTATTGTATCTCCCCCTTCAACTTGGATCATGTTAAGTAGATACTTTACCATCGCTCAGGCGGAACTCCCGCTTGAAAGACATCTTCTTTTTGATTGAAGACCTGAAACAAGAGACGTATCATGCATATTTTCACCCTGTCTATTGATCATGATGCAGACCAGTAGTCCTAGAAAATATTTTGAATAGTTAATAAAATGTTTCTTCTTGAACAAGGCAGCAACTTACCTATCTCTACCTTCTTTCTCTTTGCTGCTTTTATTCTCTTCTAATAAAAAAAAAGAGAAAGGGGTTCCATCATTGCTCCATTATTTGCTTAGCTAATTAAAATTTATCATAGATATAGACTCCTGACAAGTACAAACCAAACAAGATGGTGGACTGCATGGAAGCGTTGCTGAGCCTCCTGGAATCTGCGTTTGGAGGAGAAGGTGGGGGTCTTAAAGGAATCAGAGGGCTTCTTGGAGGTGACGTTGAAGGGGGTGGTGGTCTGACCCTACCAAGCGAGAGGTTGGTGCTTGGTGAGGTTCTTCCAGAGGTGTTCTCCTTCTGAGGGACTGGAGCTCCATTCACAGGAACCCTGGGTGGTATGGCAGGTGGTGCTGTTGCATTGTTAGACTGAGTTTCAGGGTCTACGGAGCTGTGGGCCGGTTTATCCCGACGAGCCGGTTTGTGGACATTTATTTGAGGAATATCCCTCAAGTCCTTCCTCGGGGATGATATCTTTTTGATGGGCTGAGAAGCCACAGGAAGATGGAGCTCATAAATACTCTCCTCTTCATCCTCAGGCTGTTGGTTTAGGACAGGCAGAGGCTGAGGAGGCTTTGAAAGCAAAGACTCACGGCGTTTGAGGGGAGCTGGAGGACTCTGGTCAGAAGGCTTTTTTGGACCCTCGGCCAGCAACATTTCCAAAGATTGATAAAACTTCGATTTCTCATCCCTCACAGGAGTCATGTCTGTCTCATCTCCTCCCTCGTCCTTCCTTTCCTCTCCCTGATCTTCCTCTGCTCTGGTATCTTCCCCCCCTTTCTCTGCTAACTCAATCTCTTCTTGTCGCTCTGGTCTGTGAACTTCCATCATCTCTGCTGCTTCCTGTTGCTTCTCTTCTTCATACATGTCCTCTCCCATCTCCTCATCTGCTTCCTTCATTTCTCCCTTCTTTACTGCAGGTAATTTTGACTCATATTGTTCATCCTGCACTTCTGCGTCCTTTTCTTCTGTGCCCAGATCTTCTTCCTTTTCTGCTGGCTTTATTTCTGGTTCACATTTGACTTTCTGCACTGTCTCTTCTCTCTGCTCTTGCACCTCATCCTTAGCTCCCTTACCTGGACACTCGGCATCTTGCTCATCCACAGGCACCCATATGAGCATCATGCCTGGTCTGTTTTGATGACACATGCAGGTGCAAGTTTTGCTACAGCAGCTACTGAGCAGAGAATATGGAGCGTCATCTGTCTTTGCTTCTACTGCTCCTGCCCCATGAACCTCCACCTCCTTTCCATCTGGTGCTGTAGACACAGAAGAGATAGAACTGCTTATTTTATGTAATCTTTTCCCCTTCTGTTAGCATTACATTGCTACAGTCCCTTAGAAAAGTATTCATATCCCTTAAACATTTATTTTATATATGTTAATCAGAATCTCATTACATAGATCAACAAAAAGCGGAGCATAATCATGAAGAGGAATAAAGGTTGTACATCTTTTTAAATAATATTCCTTTCAGGAAAATATTTTGTAAGTGTAACTGCTTTGTAAATCTAGAAACTAAATTCTTTGACATTTCTTTCCTTTTCAGTCCAAGCCAAGTTAGATTGGATGGAGGGAATCATTAAACATTCATCTTAAATCTTGCCATTGATTCCAAATGGGGTTTAGCTTCCTCCTCCTTCATTAACAAATCAGTTTCCCTGCAAAAAAAAAAGTTTTCCCGCAGCATAATGCTACCAACGTTATATTTTATGAATGCAGAGGTGTGTTTGTACAGGAAACCTTTTTTTCTTTCTTTCTTTTTTTTCATAAAGGGCAGCAAATGAAATGAAAGTCTAATTGGACCATTGCAGCTGTACATGTCTTATTGGCTTCTTTCAGTGATGGGTCTCTTCATGTCTCTGTTCAATAAAAGTCAGGTTTTTTGGCTGATTCTCACATTAACATTCATCATGGCTTCATAAGCCTCTCTTTCTATTTCAGGAGGACAGAACATTGCTCTGTGAGGTGTTTCAGACATTTGGTTTGTTTGTTGATCAAACCTAAGCCCTGCTTTAAATTTGTCTGCAGCTTTATTTTTTTATCTGTCTAGTGAGTTTCTCTGCCTTCATGAAGCACTGATGATCTCCAATAAACCTCTGAAAGCTGTGCAAAACAAGCTGGGTTACACTGAGATTAAATACTATGAAGGTGACTTCTAAAGGCAGCTGGACTGAATTGCATTCAGGGGCATCAGAGTAGAAGATGTTGAATAGAAATAAATAGCACAAATTTGAAGCCTTTAGGAGTCAAATTTTTTTTTTTTAAATCTCTCTACAAAGCCATCGCAAGCAAATACAGGTTTAATGTGGGTGATCTTGTTTAACTGGGATAGCTGGAGCATTCAAGGGGGAAAAAAAATATAGGTCAGCATTTCAGCAGGAAAACTGCATCAATAAAAGACAATCATAAAAAACTAAACAATGTTCCTCTCCCAAGCTACTTCCCATGCTTCTTTCCCAGGTGGAGCAGTTTCATGGTCTGTCCCTCCCAGAGGAAAGTGACAGTAACAGCCACCCTGGAAGGCATCAGGAAGACACCTCAGGATGCAAAAACCCTTTAAACATTTGAGAGCAACGCTGCTCCTTTTAAACTCCTCCCTAACAGCTGAACCCTTTGCAGCGTCACGTACAGCTCGCACATCAGAGCTGTAGGTGAAGGTTGGAATGTAGATCTGCAGCTTTCCTTCATGTTTAGGTACTCCTCCTCTGCCTCACAGAGCAACTCATTCCAAACCCAAAGTTGGTTGGTTGACATTCTGCAAATGGTAAATACATCACCTCCTCCAGTAGTCTATAAATAACTTAAACTTGGAACAACAATACAGGGTTTAAAACTAAGCTTACATACAGATCTAGAAAAACCACAAAATGGTAAAAATGCTGCAACCTTAGTTCTTGTTTGAATGCTATGTTGATTAATGTGGTCATTGTGGTTCTTCAGGTTTAAAAAATAATTTATTTCATAATAATAGTCAATATTTGAGAGAAAATTTGTAATTCTTTAAATCAAAGTCTAATAAAAAACACTGAAAACCAAACTTAGCTCCAAAACCAGTCTTAATTTTTTGCATTTTAGCTCCTAAAAAAACGTTTTCTTCCCTACATGGAATTAAAAAAAGGGGACAGTAATGATTGGGGATGGGAATCGAAAAACGTTTCGTATTCAGAACAGGTTCCGTTTGTTCCACTTCCATGCCACCGTTTGCCAGCTCGCTTAACAATTCTCTAATCGATTCCAGGCAGCAGCAGAGCCTAGCTCTGGGCAGCACGACTTACATCACGGTTTTTAAGTAAGTTACGCACCTGCATTCAGTTAGCAAGTACAACGTGAAAGTTTAGCTTCGTTTTAAGTAAGAGAAAGATGACAACAAGGCGCTTTGCAATCATTGCAAGGTGGCAATTACACCCGCAGGAGGAAATACATCCAACATGCAGAAACACCTGCGCACACAACATTGCATATAATTTAAAGAATGCCATGTTTTTGATGCTTCCGGACAGAAGTTAACGTTACAACCAGCATGGAAGGCAACTCTGGTGGTAAGTAGCTAGTTTTATATCACTGTCTGTGCTTAATGTGGTTTCTAGTAAATCACATGCCATTTCTGGAAAGAAACCAATTTCCTAAATGTCTTTGGGGTTATTAAGGGAGTGTGCCTTTCTTGTTAATCAAGCCCTTCTGATCGCTGGAATTCTTACATGATTCTAGCTATTGCAATGGAGGTAACAAAACACGCTACGAAGTTGCGCCGCAGTTCAGGGAGCGAGAGAAAGGTGACGCTAGTTTATTTAAATCAGGAGGAGATGAGTTTACTTCCCGAAATTGTACAGTAATGCTTTCTCATTAAACGGAATCGATAAGAGAATTGATAAGGAATTGAATCGTTCCACAGAATTGATTGAAGGGTATCCGAATCGTGAAAATCTTATTAATTCCCAACCCTAGTACTGACAGGTGATGAGGAGGGAAACTAAAATCCAATATCAACATTGTTCTGATCGTCAGAGTAAAAACATGACAACCACCCGACAAGCGTTTCACTTTACCGAGGTTTAGACTGTGAAGGAATCTGCATCATTTCCTGCTCTGTCACTAGACCATGTTTACACGTTTCAGGATGGCTGACACAGAGGTAGGAATTTCACCCAATTGTTTGTGCCAAGAACCCGCAGATATTCCTTTGAGCTGGAAGGAGACTTCATTATCTTATTTTTTTCCCATCAGCAGCTGACTGACCTGTTTACAGCTGTCAGGGCATAGAAGACGTGGGTGCCACACCTGTCTGTCTGCCTCTCACTTGTCTTTATACTGAAACATTCACATTTGCACATAGATTAACAGTAAAAGAACAATAAAAGGTAAATGGAATTAAAAGTTTCTCATCATAGTGTTTGTGAAACCACTACCAGGTTAGGCTGAACCATTGGCTGCGGGAAACAGTTGGAAGACACAGGAACTGAAACTCACTCTGGGAGGGCTATAACATGAAAATAAAACACTTTTCCTGATAGGATCCCTGTAATAACCAACAAATGTTGGCAGTTTATTACTTTAGGCTAAAGTCTAAATAATTTTTCAGCTTTCGGGTATTTCCCAGGCAGAATAAAGTACTACCTCCCTACCAGAGACGGTTCTGGGTGAAAAAGCCCAAGAACTCTTGCCAGGCTCCCTAAAAATGTTCGAGAATGCCCCAAGACAGATCAACCTTCCTATCATGCAGTCTTGAGCGGGTGCCGTACCTGATCTCCCTCTGTCTGTGTTCATGTCTTCGCCATTCTCGTCAATGCTCTCTTGCTGTTTCTTCAGGAAGCGGCTCCTCTTCTTGGGCAGCGGTGGCACCTGCTCAGTTCCCACCTGAGGCTGAGTGTAGGAGATGTCTGGTTTGGGTTTTATCTCAGGTGGCTTTTTCGATTGTTTGTTCGAAGACAGCTCTGCAGAACCATTCACCAACTGCTCTCCTGCTTCGATGGGGTCTTGCTTAGTAAACCTCTCTGCTATTTTTTTCACCTTTCCTGGTGTTGTGTCTGAACTGGAGGTCCCGCCAACAGGAGAGGTGGAGTTCCTCAGCATGGATCTAGGAGGGATCTCTGGTTTTGGTTTGATTTCTGGTTTGAGGGGCGAGATAGGTCGTTCCAGGACAGACATCGTAGCTGGAGGGGGGGGGGTTTCTCTTCTTTCAGAGAAGCGTCAGAGAGACTTGGATGGTGAGTGTCAGCATGGGAGCGTTGTCATCCTCTGATGGGAAAAGAGAAGAAAAGAAAAAGGAAAATTTAATCAGTGACTTAAACCACTTTTTTAAGCTGGAAAACAAACAACAGCTAACTCAGTGGTGCCATCTTCATTCAATCTTTGAGTCAGGCTTTGACCTCTGAGCTATAAACCTGAATGAGGCACGGCTCACATGTTCTCATTTCCACCGAGCACAAATAAACCCATTATAACCCAAGTTAATGTAAAATCTGTTCATATCAGGATTGAATCGTGATTTCATCACTACTGAGAAAAATACTCCTTACCTCTTATTCTAAAAACATTTCTGACAAAGTTAATGATTCACCGCTGCGGGTACACTATCAGCCCTTCATTTGCATGCTTGGTATGACAGATTGCTGTCCAGGCAGTGACTCAATGCAATCAGCCAGTTTTCTTTACATAGCAAACTTTGAACCAGTCTGCTTGACTTGTCTCTGTGAAGTGCAATGTATAAATAAACTAAATTGAATGTTTTTATGAACCTCATTTTATCAGCAGCATCAGAGGATTGGTATTGATCGGTAGCAAAGTTTAACCCCATTGATGCCCATTGTTGCAAGTATACAACAAACCCTTTGTATTACGTATACAGCAGAGATAGCATGAGCTTTCACCCAGTGCCAATTACTACACATTCAGTGTGGACCTAGGAACCTTTGGAAAGCTCCCGTTTCCATTACAACTGATCCCTTACGGTGTATTTTAATCATTGACCATTATAAAGGTTGTCAAATTTGTGACATACTGAAGTTGAATTTTACAGCCTGGCAAGATATGAGAAAAATATAATAGAGAGTGGGGAAAAAAATAGAGAACGCATTGTTTAAATTAATAAAAACAATCAAAACCAACCTTTTCAGATGCCACAAGGCATCTGTAATATACCTGTAATATCTGTAACATACAATTAAATTAAGACACATTTGAAGGTCCTGTTTTAAGTCAAATCACAGCATCTGAATGGCACATAACGGCAGACCTTTATTGGGCTATACACTCCGTGCTAGAAGATCATTGTCCGACCGTCTGCAGTCATGTCCGACCAATTAAAATATGCATTCTGTCAAGACTTTTTATTCACATTAAATGTACATTGGTACTTTTTGATCTTTTTTTTTGTCTAGAAAGCACATTTAATTTGTGAAAACTATTATTTCTCATATAGGATCAAGTTGGTTTAGTTTGATTATTTGCTTCCATAAGTAATGAAATTATCATTTAAGAACTGCTTTTTCAACTTCTTGGGTTGTATTTGTCTGAATAGTTTGAAAATATATATCATATTTCATGGACTATAAGCTGCTTATAGGATGATGCAGCTTTTCTATGGATTTTTCCTAATCGGCACAGGGGGAAGTCAAAGTTGGAAATTCAAAAGAATAAGGGACTAATTTTCATGCAGCACAAGAACATGCTAGCAGCAAGGCGGATTGAGAACAAATGTACCGAATTCACACATTTCGACATTTATTTACCGCATTAAAGCGAATGAAGAGACTGGGCTCAAACCTGCAGAGCTGAAAAAACAAGTTTACAAAACCCCATTTTTCAGTAGAAGCTGTCTCTACTGCGAGCCAACAAGCTAACGGGAGTAAGCATGTTGGCTTCATTTAAGGGGACATAAATTTTAGTGTAAAATGTTGATTTTAGTGTAATTAACATATATGAGGTGTTCCTAAAGGGGGAGCATTGGCCTAGTGGTTAGAGCAGTGCGCTTGTGCTCTGAAAAGTAACCGGTTCGATCCCCACAGCTTTCACTCTGGGTCCCTGAGAAAGCCCCTTAACCCCACACTGCTCCCCGGGCACCGCACAATGGCAGCCCTCTGCTCCCCAAGGGGATGGGTTAAATGCAGATTTAAATTTCTCTAATGTGAGATCAATAAAGTTCTATTATTATCATTATTAACTACTACATGATAATGAATAGAAAGAGTCAAATTTAAGCAATAAGTGTTTAAACCAAACACATAGGCTACTAAAACAATAGCAGTGAACTTCCTAATTCCATTACAAGACTTGTTAGTATCCAAACATGCTTTTTTGATTGTATCTACTGATTGTGTGCTGAAAATATGCCAGTAATCCTCAGGCTAATCTTTACACACTTATCTAATAACAGTGTTGGTATGAGGATTTTTCAACCAATGACTGAGTAATTTTTGGTTGTATATCTCTAAGCGTATCTCCACTCTGAAGGTGAGAAACCTAGATTGGCTTGCAGTTGTTTATAGATAAACAGGACTAGAGCTGCAGGATGTCAGAAATATTAGATAAGTCAGGGACAGTAATAAAAAAAGGGTCAAACTGTATGTCAACTTTTTAGCACTTCTCTCGACACATACATGCAAACCAGTGGCGGTTCTAGATTAAATTTACGAGAAGCGTCAGTGTGAGGCCTGTTATTTTTCATGGTGGCACAGAACAAATAAAAATATAAAAACAAATTTGGGCAAGAGAGGATTGTTAAGATATTAAGTGAGCTGCAAATTCAAGGTTGCACATTTCTGATCTAACAGATGAAAACTGTGATCTTATCTTAGTAAGGCAGCTTAAAAGCTACCTGCAATTACAGAATAATTATTAAAGTAGATTGTAAAGTCAAAAACATTAACTTGGTCCAAGGGGCAACAATATCATCTTAAGAAATTGATTTAGTGTAAGACTGAAGAATCTGAATTAAAAAGGTAAAAATATTCTTAAAAACTGTACAGCTAAATAAGATGAAATGCCAAAAGGAGTATTTCTGGTCTTAAAATAAAATTATTACCGTATTTTCCGGACTATAGAGCGCACCATACTATAAGCCATGCCCACTAATTTTTTTTAAAAACTTAAAACGTACATATATACTGCGCACCAGGCTATAAGCCATATAGACATATAGTCCCTGGAGTAGGGAGGAAAAAGAAAGCTAGCTCCTGTTAGCTTGTTGGCTCGCAGCAATAAGATCTTCTACTGAAAGATGGGGCTTCGTCAGATCTTTATTTCAGCTCTGCAGGAGTTGAGCCCAACTTTATAATGTCAAAATGTGTGAATTTGCTACATTTGTTCTCCATCCTGCCTGCTGCTAGCATGTTCTTGAGCTAAATGAAAATTAGCCCCTTATTCTTGCATTTACAGTTTTGACTTCCTCCTCTATTGGTTAAGAAAAATCCACAGAAAAGCTGCACCTTCTTATAAGCCGCATGGTTCAAAACCTGGCAAAAAAGTAATGACTTATAGTCCGAAAGTAAACAGGGTAGATATTAAGCACTCAACATAAGGTAATGGGAGATTTTTTTTTCTTATTTTAAACATTAATCATCTTAGTCCATCCACAACTTCATGAGTTAATCTAACATTTCTACTGTGAAGTAGAGTTAAGCAAAGTTTTTGTCTCTGTTAAAAAATTCTTAGATTACCCATAGTTATATTTAATTTCATGGTTCCCTTCTTTGCATGCAAACAATGTGCCCAACCCGGTGAAAAGAAGCTAACTGCAGCAGACGCCTGGAGCTGACACGGTTGGTAGGAACCATTATTCATAAAGGGCGGAGAGAGTTTGAATGATTCACATAACAGAAGAAGGAAGAATAGGTGGATTTACCACAGATTATCATGCCATGATAGTTTTTTAATAAAAGGTCCTCCTCTTTTCTATCTGAGAAACGGCAGCTGATGGCCCATTTTCCATCTTATTCAGTCAATCTTATTTATTTCCATCTTTATTCCATGTTTATTTCTTTAGTTATAGGTTAGGATTATTCTCACTGACCATTCTTACACTGCTAAAATCAGATTAGATGAAAAATTATGTGGTTTTATTGTTTGCCGGTAACGCTACAGACTCTGATCAGACATCTTTACAGCCTGCGAAGGAGAGACCCCCCTTCCTGTTTCTCTAATAGAGACTGAGCTGACCATCCTCTGAGGCCTATCTGTATCTGTATGACTGACAGGATGCTGAACAGGCACATTTTCAATCTTTTAACAGCATGACAGACCAGCATGTCTCCTGCTAATACTTGTGTGCACAATGGACTCATCTAGTCGTATTTCTGATACAGTTTTGAAGAGTGTTTGGCAGAGTTTTATGAACAAACAAAGGCATTACCTATTGTCACTCATGTGCAATATTCTGCTCTCTCATTAAGCAATAACACACATCAAGTACTGTGTAGCTCGTGTAATATGTTACTTATTTATAAGGTCAGTACATTTCTGCAGTACAAATGGATTAATCAAAGTTAACTACTGTGTAGTCTTCCCTTAGCCCTATACTGTGCAGATGTTTTATATCTAAAAGAAACATATTCCAGGACATTACAACTTTTTTTCTTTTTTTTTATGCCCTTTTGTACTATATACACTCTTTTTATATTGTCTGTTGTATTTTCATCTTTAATGTTATCTTGCTTTAACTCTTTGTACTCTGTATAATCTACTGGAACCAGAATTTCCCTGAAGGAGTAATCCCAAGGGATAAATAAAGTTGAGTCTAAATCCAAGGTAAAAAAACAGACAGAAAAAAACTAATATTTTTTGCAAACTCTGCACACCGGGACTTAAGAGACATCAGTCAAAACCACTTCAAATCTAAAATGACACATTGAGTTAAAGCATCCGAGCTATCTTGGAAACTATCTGCTACTGAATGAAGAACACAAGAAATCCTTTTTGATGCAGATCTTTTCAGCAGAACCTGAATGTACTTGTATGTTCCTGAAGTTCTGTGTAGTTTGGCAAAATAAAGGCTTTACTGCACAGTATACCTTGACAGCATCGAGTATTTTCCAACTTTTTCTTTATATTATGATCACGCATTTAAAGGATGAAATATCTTCTTCTATAGTGCATGATTGAGGCTTAATTTACCAAATGAACATGAACTACCGGTAGTTCATTTATAGGTTTGTGAAAGTTCATTTTTGAAAAACCTGAACTATGAACGTGAGTTATTAGCTGTATGAACTGAACTTTGAGCTTGTTCTTTTTAACTATGAACTGGCAAAACATTGCCCACAGCAACATGTTCCTATTTGGCTAATATGCAAGGGTTAGCTTATATTCATGAATGGCAAATATTGACCTAAATTATAAGCTAGGTGAATGCACCACCAGAACAACTTTATTAAAGTGCCTGACCCAGGATATTGCTGATCTGATGTTAGCTAAGCTACAAAATATCAAAAAGAAACATTTATAAATTGAGAAGAAAACTGCATAAAGAGAAGGAAATAAAGAGTAGTCTAATATGATGTAGAACACAGTTTGTGCAAAAATGCTTATTTTCTTAAAACACTCCAAAAAATGTAAGAACACTTAAATTTGGAGGCCGAAAAATGATAAGAATATTTAAAAAAAAAAAAGATTGCCCTGTGCCAAAGAAACACTTAAAGACTGGGATGTAATACCATACACACAACAGGAAATAAACACTTGTTTCTTGTTTGTCTGACTGCAGGTGAAGGTCAAGTTGATCTGTGTTTAGATCACATAGACCACAAGGTATAAATCCCAGAGTAAATGTTTAGACTGAAAAGCTCTTCTATGATCCTTGGACTAAAAATGCTGCAGCTTCTTTCCTTTAAGCTGGATCTCAGTGTAGAGTTCTGCAATAACACAGCATGACATAAATGGTTAATATGCTAGTAAGAGTTCACAAACTGTTTTAGAGACTTGTGTACCTAGAGACACTCCCCTCCGTTTTATTGTTTGAGCTCTCCTGAGATCAATGGTTCCTTCCTTGTTTTTTTCAAAATCTTTGATAAGGAACCACTGTGTTTTATGAAATTATATAATTAGTCATCTAATACTAGATTTATATCCATTATAGATTTATTGCTCAGACTGACCTACAAAGAAGCCATTGCCTACTCATAATGATGACTCCTGCTTTGGGAACCAAATTTAACCCTTTAAAGGAAGCAGTCAAACCAAGCTTCCTTATGAAACATGGGAAAGTAAATTTAGTAACACGATGGCACTGAGGCAGAACTGGATTGTTAAACCCTCTTGAACAAAAGTGAAAGAAAAAGGAAACATACTTTTTTCTAAATTCGTATACCAATAAAACCTGGAAGAGTGAGCAGCTTTCATTCTCACAGTATGATGCCTCCACCATGTTCCACATTCTTCTCTAACGTCATTTAAGAGCTTTAGAGATGCATTCAGACTTAGATTTAATTACACAAAGCTGGACTCCATTTATGCCGTCTATGAATCCTCAGGTGCTCATTAGTTCCTCTGGGTGTCTAAATTAATAGTGGGCAAAAATGAAAACATACTGGAACTGCATACATTTTTCAGGAAACTTTATATTGATTTCCCTTATTTAAAATCCCAAAATGTGACAAGATGTGAAAAGATCAGTGGGTTTAAAGACTTTTGCAAGGCAACGTGAAAAACAGCGTTAAGTTAGAAGCAGGAAGGAAAACCGTATCGTTCAACTTGGGTGAGTGAATATCTTCACAGCAGAGGGGGTGATCACAGCAGCTGAGGAAACCAAACCAATCCGGGGCGTTAGTCATCCTCTGAGTCATTCTGCATTAAGATGCCACGGTGCTGCTTTGTGAGACTGTATACTCAGCTAGTGGCTGCAGAAGTACAAAATTATATCCATCTTCTTTCATGCTTATCCCAAGCAGTTCGCGAGGGGTGCTGGTGCCTATCTCCACCTGTCTACGGGCGAGAGGCGGGGTACACCCTGGACAGGTGGCCAGTCTATTGCAGGGCAACACAGAGACACGTTTTTGGAAGCCGGCGTACCCGGACAGAACCCACGCATATGCTCATGAAGGAATGAAGGAATCAAAGCCAGAAGGCAACAGTGCTACAAATTGCCCCACCGTGCAGCCCCCAAACTCAGAAAAACCTTAACTGAATACTTCAATGCTATTCTCAGTGCAGCAATTAACATGATAATGAGTAAAGTGACCAATTTAGATAAAAACCTTTAGATTATTTTACCTTTACCTTTTTTATAGACCCTTTAATTTAATCAGTTAGGGTGATTTTTGACAACTGAAGAAGATTATGTTGACTGGAAACATTTTTGAATGTGCTCTGTGTTATTTTTAACATGATTTTTTTTTTTATAGGAAAAGAGAAGGGTTTATTTATACTTCTTACCTTCTAACTTCATTTTGTTTTTGATGTTTGGTATCTGCCATTGTGCCTTTCCTATATAACATGTATATGTTTATTTTGAATTATATTTCCCCATATTAATTTATAGCAACTGTATGTTTGCCTGTCTGTGTTTAGCACTTTAGCACCTTATCTTGGCAATAAAGCCTTTACAGATTCCCATAAACTGACTGTGGAACAAAAGACAAAGATAACGTACGAAGGATTAGTTAGCCATCAGGATTGGCAAACATTTATGGCTCTTGGTCCCATGATCAAATGCTGAATGTTAGGACTAAAACAAAGATTTCATATATTTTAAGTCCTAGAAAGAAAATCAGAAATCACTAAAAGCTTAAAAAGCATTAGTGAAAATAATAAAATATAGGGAAATTTTCATCTAAAAAGTCTAAAAGTCTCTCTTATATCATTTATTTAAACAAAGTAACACAAAACCAACGAAACATAAAGGTAAAGCTGAAACTGAAGACTCTGATAAGTAGAAAAAAATGTTTTCTTAATGTTTCAAATGTGTCCTCTCTGAAGCCTATCTAAAAAGTTGAAAGGTTTAACTTTATTCCTACAAATAAAAGCTAAGTTCATATGAATAAACACACTATAGTCAGAAAAGAAAAAAAAAACAGTACAAAAAATATATATTACAGATTAATCTTCCTGACCTGACAGCTTCTGTCAAAATTAAGGTGCAACCAGTAGCTCAGAAAAGTGTACCAGCTGGTCAGACCAGTTTAGAAGGAGACTCGGTTTCAGGTTTCAATCAGACAGAAAATGTCTAATCTGAAGTTATTGGAAGCAAAGAGCAGATATGATCCATCTTAGCTTATACATTCAATGGCAGTGGGTGGGATTGGAGTGTTTCTCTGGTTTCAGATTTGGCCCTCAGGTAATTTGCTATACACAAAGCAACACATTTACTTTAAAACAGAGGGTGTGTGTAACCCTGACACACTGATTGGGTTACAATGGGCTGTTGAATAAAACAAGTCCCTTTATTCTCTTAAACTCTCCTTAGACAGATTTCTCTTTTATCTCCCTTTGCTCTAATGACTATTGATTAATTCAATAGATATATCCTGCAGAGCACTGCTTGTTTTTATTTTGTTTTTTTTATTATTTTTTCTGGACTACTTAGGGCAGGTCAGCAGGCTTTACTGTACCAGTATGTGTTGCTAAATCCAACATGATCCTTTTAAGGCGCCCCAGTTTTCAGAACAAAAGGGAATCTTCTGACACAGTTATTGTTGTTGGGCATGGTTATTGTGTGCAATAAACTGAGGGTGACTTTAGACGTGCTGCTGTGCATGTGATCAGAGGTTAAGCTCCACGCCAGGCAAAGGAAAACGGAAAAAGGTGTTTCAGGAAGGAGGGCTGACACATGGAGAGATGGGATGGGAAAGCAGGAAAGATAATACAGCTGGGGACATGTTGGCTGCTACTTTTAAAGAAGGATCCCTATATTTGATTTCGAATTAGTTGCTACATATTTATGAAAGTTAAACCACAACTAGCATACATGCTATAGCATAATAATAACTGATTTGTTACATTTAACTGGGAAAATATTTATCTTTTTTTTTTGTATAAACGCCAATAAAGTGATTTACTACTAATAATAAACGCTGCTTCTTTTGAGAAAAGCAGGAAACGTGTAAAGTTATCATAAGTGTCTGAACAGGTGCTCTCTACATGCAATTAACTACAACCAGCTGAACTACCGATGACATTAAACGTTTCCCGTTTAACATACTAAACATTAAAGAAACAAATACATACCAAACACGGTTAGAAAGGTTCCGCTTCGGGGGTTTTTCAGGTCTAGTTTTAGTCAAGCATCTTGACTTACTTCTCTTTAGAAAGTCAGAAAACCTCTCGGTGTAAACTCCACTCCCGGCACGAGAAATAAAACGTTTTTTTTTTTTTTTTTTTTTATAACAGTCAAAAAAACGACAAAATGAACTCCCGGTGAGACAAAAAATATCTTAGTTCCAAATTGTTCGTTTGTCAGTGTGTTGTGTTGGTTCCCATCACCCCCTGGTTGTTGTCTCGTCTTTGTTACAGGCGGCGTTTAAGAGAGGAGCGGATGGGAGGGAGGAGAGTATCCTCCTGAGATTCCAACCGTCAAGCTCTGCGTAGTGACGTCCACGACTTCCGTTGGAGCTTTTCAAAATAAAGCAACGGCCTAAGAGACTACGGAAGTGATTTCAAAATAAAATGTTTAGCAAATAAAATTAAAATAAAAATTGCTGTAGCCTGAAAATTTGGCCAGGGTAGGGACTAATGTGTATTGAGGGCACACGGATAGATGCAAGTACAATTTGAGGGTCAATCTACACTGAATCAACAGTGAAATAACCAAGCAAGACATCCATACATTCCAAACCAAACTACATTTTTGAAAATCCCTCACTAATATATAAATGCAGATCTTTATACATCATTGCTGTCTAAATGAAAGGTATAATGGGCATTCTTCTTTAAGCTTTGTGTTTTAGGGGAAATATCAGGGGCGGAGCTAGATGGGGGGCCAGGGGTGGCCATGGCCTACCATTTTTTTCCCCCTCTAAAAGTCAATTTATACTTCTGACACATAGTCTCTGCAATAGAGACTGACATTTTTTCGGGAATCCCACGGGTCACGGGATTCCCGTGTCACGTGATTGGGACGGTACAGGATTAAACATTAACGGGAGCCGAACGGGAGCGGGAGCAAACCAATAATAACAAAAAAAAAAAAAAAAAAAAAACTAGGATCGATGCCAAAAAATAAAAT